ACCCTTTTCGATTTTTCATTTTTGCTACAATGGGACGCTGCACGAAGATGTTGGTGTTCACGGCAATTTTGTTATTGAGTCTGCAACAGACATGGGGATTTAGGCTGTTGAAAGAGAAACAACTGCTGTGGCAGCAGAATAAGCTAATAATACAATCGCTACAAAGAGGCCCCGTCCAAGGTTCCCAAAGAAACCCCTGTTCCACCGTTCCCGGCCGCAGCCATGGACGCTGCACTTTTGAAACCACCGTTGCTCCTGCACCGCCAACCTTACCACAAGTTGCCACTTAGTTTGGATCGTCATCACCATCTTCTGCTATATACTGCTATATCTCATGAGACTCTCAAAGACATGTCTCGTAGATCATCTTCTATCGTATTCATGTTATTCAATTAAAGGTTCTCCATGTATGTATATAGATATTACAGAATTAATGTATACGAAATATATGATCCATATTTTTTTTATTCAAAGGAAATAAAACAATTTCATTCTTTAATTTGATTATTTCTCTGGCCTTCCTTCTTTGATTCTGTATGCTTTTTTCTTTTTTGTGAATTTCTCTCTCTCTCTCTCTGGCTCTCTGGATTTTGAACTTTTACTGGTGATATTATATTGTCTGTGCCGGGTCTTCATTACTTTGCACAGATCATGCCGTCAAATCGGCTGGCTGGCTGCCATGCATGCATGACATATGTTTATTATAAATGCATATATAGTTTCGCTACTTTTGTTAAAGATGCGTTGACTAGCACATAATAAATAGGTCAAACATAAATAATTTTTCAAAATTATATAGGCACGTTATTTGGTTATTTTCTTTAATAAAATTCACCCATCAAGATGCTGTTTTAAATTACCCAAGGTTAGTTCTTGAAAGTTCTAAAATATCACCGTACATAAATTCTTATATAATAATTAATTAGCATAAAATAGCTTGACGTAAAAAAGGATTTTAAGAAATTAGTTTAGTAATGAATTAAGTCTTTTTGAGAGATTGACTTTGGTGACAAAAATTATGGAAGAATAATATGTATCGTGACATTTTAGAGGGCTAACATGGTAACTTGGTAACTTGGGTACTATGAAGGCTTTTGAAAACGATGGTACATAGAGTCTCAGAGGTTATTTCTTTTTTTAACTGAATTTTGAATTGCTGTGATATAAGGTGTAGCGTTGAGCGAAGGGAACTCCGTGTTGAAATTCAAACCCTTTTATTATATTATATACATTTCAAACACGAAAACACATACAAGCTTGCTAGCCTTATGCTTCAATTTTTGTAAATCCATTTACACTTAACTCATTTATAAATAAAATATTAAGTTATTGATTACTCATCATCCCATTTGAAATATATATTCATTTATATACCAAATTTTATCTTCTTATATCTGTTTACATAAATATTTTTATTATTCCTAAATAAAAAAAGAATAAGCTCGTCTTCTTTCTCTTCTAACAAATTAATTAATTTGTGCATCAAAATTTAAATTAGTCTCTAATATTAACTACAAATTTTAACTAATATTAAAAACCAATTTTACCCTAATTCACAAACTAGTATTTTTTAATAGGAACTATTTTACATACCAACACTTTTTAATTTATAAAATAATTATTAATTTAGTTAATATAATAAATAAATAGTTTTTATTTCTAAATTTGATTATTATTTAACGATGATTTTGTTACAGTATTTGTGTCTCTTTTTACAAATGAAAAAATGAATTGATAAAAACAAACACAACACTAATGTTAATATATATATATCAGTCTTCTCTTAGATAAATTTAATGGAACTATTTTTGCATGATATACTTATATATCAATACAAAATATCATGAAAATTTTGTAAAAATGATTCATAAGATTTATTATGATTATATGTTAGTAAGGTATAAAAAAATGTATTTTTGGATTTAGTTTTTTTCCCTCTCTACTGCTTTCTTTATACAAAAGCGGCGCGCTGGAAATTAATGAAATTTTAAAAAAATGAAACTAGAAGATAACAAAATATAATTACTATCATTATTGATATTTATGATAATATCATCTTGATTAAGATATCACTTCAACTGTTGATTAAAAGAAAATTTCGTCGCTGAAAAGAAAAGAAAAAGTTAAACTTAAGTTATATATTATTAGTGCTTCGAATTAAAACTTTTTTTTGAAAAATAGTTATATTTTAAGGACGTAATCAATATATTTTTTTTTTAACTTTTATATTATGATATGCAACTTAAAAAAACAAGACTTTCACTCTACTCAATCTTAAATAAATATTTTTAATATTTTCGCCTTTTCCTTTTTAAATATGAATTTCACGCATTACATCAAACTAAAAGTATATCTTGGTCATTTTAATTTTGATCTAAGTTGAATTCAAATTTTTTAAAATAAATGATTAATAATTAAAAATAATATTATATATAAAATGTATTTCATCATAAGTTTTAATTATAGCATAAAAATATGATTTATTTGTTTAAAAGTTTTTAATTATGTAAAGTTATGTATATCTAATATATTAGAGGACTGATTTAATGTGATTGATTTTCTGATATTCATGTTCTTCATATTTTTTTTCTTAACAAATTTGTGTAGAAATATCCTCACTATTTAAATTAAGTAAAAAGAATATTTGTAATCAAATACACATATATGTCAATTCGGCCCCTTATATTGTCTGGTCCATTTATATGGATTGGAGTCAGAAAATTCGTATGGTCAAAAAGTCTTTTATTGAAAAAATTCCGGAATCTAATGTATTCACAAAAAGTTTTATGGGTCTGAGTCAATCCATCAGCTTTCATTTTAGAAAAATAATCATTGGGTGATTCACCCAACACTCTACACCTCCAATTTTTTAAAAAGTTTTACTTTTAACCTTAATAAATATTTCATTAAAATTTTTCTCTTCTTTCTTTAAATAACTCTATACTATGCATCTTGCACGATCTCACATCTAACTCTCCTCTTCTAATATCTCACCGTACACCTTCTAATTTCTATTTTTATAATAATTATACTAAAAAAACACAAATTAAAGATAATTAAAATAAAAATAGTAATAATGAAAATAAGAGAAAAAAAAAATCATAATATAAAATATGATTTAATACATTAAATTAAATTAAATTTTAAATTAAATTAAATTTTAAATTAAATTAAATTTTAAATAAAAATTAAATTTTAAAAAAATTGTTTATCGGATTCAAATCCGGTAAACAATTCTTTCTAAATTTTGTTAATTAATTTAATTAAAATTCTAATATTATTTAATATACTTTAATATTTTAATAATAATTAAAATATGATTCATATTACAGTAATAGTTATATTAAAAAAATTAGAAATTATAATAAAATAGTAATCTTAATAATATTAATTTAAAATTTGACTTAATAGATTTTAATATATTAAATTATATTAAAATATTAAATTAAATTAAATAACTATTAAATTTTAAATAAAAAATTAAATTTTAAAAACTTTTTTTTATCGGATATCAAAATCCTCTAAAAAACTTTTCGGACATCAATAAACAAAATTTTTAAATTTTGTTTTTTATTTAAAATTTATTAATTATTTAATTTAATTTAAAACTTTAATATTATTTATAGTATTTTAATATTTTAATAATTATTAAAATATGATTTATATTTTTATTATAGTTTTATTAAAAAATTAAAATAAAAATATTAAAATAAGAGTAATAATAATGAAAATAAAAAAATAAAACAAAAATAAAAATAAAAATTTAAAATCAGATTTAATATATTTAAATATATTAAATTATATTAAAATATTAAATTATGTTAACGGTATCCAATTAATAAATTATTTTACAATTTTGTTTTTATTTAAACTTTAATAAATATTTAATTTAATTTAATATTTTAATATATTTAAATATATTAAATCATATTTTATATTAATATTTTTTTTCATTATTTCTATTTTTATTTTAATTATTTTTTAGTATAATTATTATAATAGAAATTATATTTTAATAATTATTAAGATAAAAACCTATATTAAATAATATTAAATATTTAAATCAAATTAAATTAATATTAAATTTTAAACCTAAAAATAAAATTTAAAAAAAGTTATGAATTGTATTTCAAAATTCACAGATTTTAAAATCTATTAAAGGGATGCAGTGACTTTAATAAATTTTGAAAATATATTTATTTAGGTTAAAATTAGAATTTTTCAAAAAATTGAAGGTGTAGGGTGTTACATCTGAATTAAAACTGTTTAAGAATCTTGGACTAGATACATTTTTAATTAGGAACAAAATTGATATTTTATTAAAGTTTGGAAGTATAAGATGAAAGGATTAGAGGTACGGATGAAACACCGTATTTATTTTGAACGCAATTAACTTCTATTATGTCTGTGTTTTTAATTCGTCAAAGCATTTTAATTTCACTAATATAAACTTTTTTAGAGATTTCCATAAATTTGGTTGTTTGATTATATAAAAAGATTACGGAGCATTAATTTTGAAAGTTTAAAATAATGAATTTATGAATAATAAATTTATGAAAATTTTATTATATGTAATTTTTTTTAATGTATCACTTAAATATATCAATTATTTTTTCTAATAATATATATATATATATATATATATATATATATATATATAATATTTTTTAGTGTAATTGGTTAGTCCTGTTTTATAATTTTAGTATTTTTTAATTATTATAATAATTAGTTTTTTTATTGTTTTATTATCATAATCTATACAATTAATAAATGAATTCTCTTCATTTTTTTTATAATTAATACCATTTTTATATCTATGTTTTAAAGTCAATTAAGGACCTAAAAAAATGGAATTATAAAATTTAATAAAAATGATTTATTTATAATTAATTTCTGTGGATACATTCTTTTATAGTTTTAGTAATAATTTGTATTTTATTAGTTATTATAATAAACTAATAATTATTATAATAATTAGTTTTCTATTTTTTTTATTGTTCTAAGAAAAAATTGGGCACCTGGGCAGCATTTTGGTTCTAGCCTCTTATCCCAAACATTCACCATGTCCCTCCTGCCAAACAAGAAAATAGAGAAGAGAAAGCCTCCTTTTTGTTATTTTGGATCACTGCTCACATAATCATGGTTGCTGTTGGAAAAGAAAAATGAAACACGAATTGGCTCAGGTGTTTGAATTCGTAGGTTGTCATTTGAGTTTGTCATTCTACGTAGGATTCCCCTCTGCCAACTATTTAATTAATGTCGATGTGGGACTCTGATTATTCCCCGTACACCAACCCAACTACGGCGTGGAACAACCAGCTCCGGCAGCTATCGAAGCAACGGCAGTACAGAGAAGCTCTAACCCTTTACCGTCATATGCTCCGTTCTTCATTCTTTCCCAACACCTTCACTTTCCCCTTTCTTTTCAAATCTTGCGCCTTTCTCTCTCTCCCTCTCACTGCTTCCCAGCTCCATGCACATGTCATCCGAACCGGGTCAAAACCCGACCCGTATACCCGTTCCTCCCTCATCAGTACCTACTCCAAATGCTCCCTCCCTCACCACGCGCGCAAGGTTTTCGATGAAATGCCGAATCCCACCATTTGCTACAATGCAATGATCTCCGGCTATTCCTTCAACTCCAACCCTCTTGAGGCTGTCAAGTTGTTTCGTCAAATGCGGAGGGAGGAGGAGGACAGTTTGGACGTTAATGGTAACGTTAGTGTTAACGCTGTTACACTGTTGAGTTTGGTTTCTGGCTGTTCCGTGGCTACCCATTTGAAAATTGGGTCGTGCCTCCATGGGTGTGTTGTTAGGTTTGGGTTTGTGACCGATTTGGCTGTGGCGAATAGTTTGGTCACTATGTATGTGAAATGCGGGGAGGTTGAAGTTGCACGCCAAGTGTTTGACGAAATGTTTGTCAGGGATTTGATTACTTGGAATGCTATGATTTCTGGGTACGCGCAAAACGGGCATGCTAGGACTGTTTTGGAGGTTTATAATGAGATGAAGTTGAGTGGGGTGAGTGCTGATGCTGTTACTCTTCTGGGGCTTCTGTCAGCTTGTGCAAATCTTGGAGCACAAGGAATTGGTCGGGAGGTGGAGCGCGAGATTAAGCGGTTAGGTTTTGATTCTAATCCGTTTTTGAGGAATGCGCTTGTGAATATGTATGCTAGGTGTGGAAACCTGACTGAGGCGCGCAGGGTTTTTGATTGCTCGGGGGAGAAGAGTTTGGTTTCCTGGACGGCAATCATTGGTGGGTATGGGATCCATGGCCAGGGGACGGTTGCGATAGAGCTTTTTGATGAGATGGTTAAGTCAGGTGTTAGGCCGGATCAGACGGTATTTGTGAGTGTTCTTTCGGCGTGCAGCCATGCCGGGTTAACTGATAGGGGTTTGGAGTATTTTGAAGACATGAAAATGAAGTATGGTTTGCAGCCTGGTCCGGAGCACTACTCTTGTGTGGTGGATCTATTAGGCCGTGCAGGTAGGTTGGAGGAGGCTGTGGATCTCATAATGTCAATGAAGGTGAAACCTGATGGTGCTGTTTGGGGTGCCCTTCTGGGTGCTTGCAAGATTCATAAGAATGTGAAGGTAGCAGAGTTGGCCTTTCAGCATGTTGTTGAGCTTGAACCCATGAATATAGGTTACTATGTTTTGTTGTCCAATATATACACTGATGCTAACAACTTAGAGGGGGTTTTAAGAGTTAGAGTCATGATGAGGGAAAGAAAGCTTAGGAAGGATCCAGGACACAGCTATGTAGAATATAAGGGAAAAATGCACCTTTTTCACTCGGGGGATCTGAGCCATCCTCGAAGTAAGGAAATATATAGGATGTTAGATAAATTGGAAAATCTTGTGAAGGAGATTCTTCCACCAGATGAGAAATGTCAAGGAAGAAGCGAAGAACTCTTACTTGGTACAGGGGTGCACAGTGAAAAACTGGCAATTGCATTTGCTTTGTTGAATTCTAAGAGTGGAACAGAAATTACTGTCATGAAAAACTTGCGAGTGTGTGTGCATTGCCATTTGTTCATTAAGTTGGTTAGCAAGATTGTTAATCGCCAATTTATTGTTAGAGATGCCACTCGCTTTCATCATTTCAGAGATGGGATCTGCTCATGTAAGGACTACTGGTGAAACCAATGCAGCTCTATTTATCAAAAATTGCTTTGGATAGTACTCAGAGATGTCTTACCTCACCTAAGTGATTGATGCTGTTAGTGAGGGAGGAGGACTGAGGACGATGCATCCATGTTGAGAAATTCTATAAATATGCACAACCACAACCCAATTATTTAGGAAAATAGGAAAGAAAACTGTGAATCCGCTGAGCTTGGAAAAGGAAGATTGCAACCACAGCACGGGATGTGCAATGGTTTTCTATTCTATAACATGATGAGGCTAACTTCCGATGAAGAACTATTCTTTTTCGCATGCAAGACTCGTCCTGAAACCTTTAAGAAAGTCAAGCATGCGCTACTTAAATCAATCACCAGTTGGTCAAGTGCAACTTCCAGTGGCAAAAAGTGTATGGCGTCCTTCAATTGGCAATAGCAATTTTTTTTCTCTGTGGAGTCCTGGAAATCCTCCCAAGGAGGTGATTGACTTTTTTGCCCAACACCGTAAACAGTTTCCCTAACAATGACATACCCTCTAATTTTGTCCACATACAACAAAAAATGCTCTTAATTACTCGGTTAGTCTTCATTTTAGTTAAAATATTTCGAGTTAATTCTTAAACTTTTTATGTAAATTGTAGGTTAACTTTTGAAAAAAAATCTTTTAAAAAAAGTTACTAATAACATTAACTAATATGTGATTATTTTATTTTATTAATTTTTATTTTACTTTTTAACATTTTTTGTTGTCTATGTGTCAGGTTTATAATGTGATATGTGACATTTCAATGTGTTAATGATATGCGTCATGATTATAATTTAATTCTTATATATGTTTATTTTAATTTAGTTCTTATATAGGTTTATTTGATTTAATTTAGTTTTAACTTTTTTAATATAAATATTAATATAAAATTTATACTGTCGCAACCGAAATTGCGACGGGACGGCGAAAAACAAACGGTTTTGTGAAATAGATTTGTGGAGTCGCCACCATAATTTATTATGGAAAAAACTATGGAAAATCATAAAATAAGACATGGTCTACGAAAAGATATTTTCAGGTTCGGGAATCGGTTACGCGTAAGAAAGGTGTTAGCACCCTATCGCGCCTGCCCAAAGGCAGTACCTTTAATTAAATGTATGAAGTTGACGTGGTTTTGCAAAATGTTAATTTTCCCTAAACAAAATAATAAAATAAAAAAACTATTAAGAAACAAAAAATATTTTTTTGTTTTATGAATCCGACAAGAATTGACCTTGGTCCTACGTACATCCATTTATAATGGACAATCAGGGATCACGTAGTACTTTATCTATAAAAAGGTTTGTGAGTTTGTTAAAAATTATTGATTGATTTAAATCTTTGAAAAAGAAGTGAATCCCAACAAGATTTGGTTTAACAAGACTAACATCTTTTTTGGTTTTTGAAGATTTTGTATTTTTTTTATTTATTGAAAAATGGTGGAAAAAAGAAAGAAACTGGCCGACCCATACTTATAAAAATAATTATGATTAAAAAAACATTATTTGCGTGTAGAAAAAATCTTTAGAAAAAAAACATCAGAGTACAATAAAAAAAGCAAAAGAATGGTGCAGAGGCGACATACCTTTTTAGCGTTCAGTATTCCCCCATTTCTCCCTTGGTGGGCAGAGTTCCTCCAACCTGAGAACTTACTTTTCTCTATATTCTTCCGTACTCAAAATATTTTTATTATTTCAAAATATTTTTATTATTTCAAAATATTTTCCCCCCTCTCTTTTTTACAGGCGTATTTATATACACTCATCATAATATTATGGAAATCTTGTCTTAATTGTGAATTAATTGACAATAAAACAAAATAGGGAAAGAAATGGTCTTGGTTGCCAGAAAACAAATTAAATAATATTCAAAACATTGATTATCATTATTGTTAGAAAATCATATTTTCCTCTTTAAAAGCAACTGATGCAACAAATTATATTAATATACTATTTTAATTATTGTTTATAATTATTAGCATAATATTAATTCAAATTATTACCATATTAAACTAACATTTCAAAAATATTGTGTTTGGTATTAAAGTTATTATTTTATCCCTTTTTACCCACCATTAATTATTATTCTCTTATTTTTTATTATTTTTAAATATTTACTTACCCGGACGAAATTGGGTGTTCGACATATACAAATAATAAATTTGGTTTTGATTAAGAGAGATCAAATTTATCATTTGTATAAATATTATTAATTCATTTATTCTTATAAATATATGGATAAGTAATATGTTAGTTTTAAATTCTTATTTTTAGAAAAAATACATTTATATTTAATTAGTTTTAATCTTATAAAAAAAAGTGATTACCAAAACATAAATTAATAATATAATAATGTAATATGTTAAAAAGTCATTTTTAATAAAAATATTATTATAATATTTATAAAAATAATAAATTTGGTTTAAATTTACAGGAAGGTAATATTATTTTATTTTGAAAAAAATGAAAACTAAATTGAATCAATGAAATATATATAGAGACTAAATTGAAAAATAATGACACTTGGTACTGATACGTGGAAGTGTCTTGTCACGTGCTACCATGTATCATATGTGACATGTGGCATGTTAATACAGTTATTAATTTTATTTAAAATAACTTAATTGAAATACATTTCCAAAATTTGACATACAATTAAAATAAAAAATTTAACAGAACAACAAATTTAACAGAGATGAACTTGAAACTTTTCAAAAGTGGGAACTAAGCTAGTAATTAAAGCTACCAAAAATTGTAATATGAGCATTTAGTATCCAAAATAGAAAATTCAGAGGATGCTTTCATTCGGTAGATGACTTCTACAACCCAATAAACTTCTTTCAGATAGTTCTTCCTCCAGCCTTACTTTTTTTTTTTGTCAGTTCTTGTTACTTTAAGTGAGAACTAATTGACAAAAGGTGTTATCAATTTCTAAGGGTTTATAGATAAAAAGATGTTCTAATTAAAAAATAATGGACAAATTATCACTGAAAATTTTGTTGAAACATATGTTTGAATATATCTAAGGATAAAAACGGTAACCTAAATATATTTTTTTCTTTGTTAACCTTCTAAATTACTTTTTAAGAATAAGATTATGATAAAGTCATCAAATATAAAAGTAACAATACCTCAAGTATAATGATTAAACTTAATAACGTTATATTTTTAAACTTGAAATTGGAACATTAAAATTGTCTATGGAAACGAGAAAAGGTTTTAAAAGTTAGCCTTCGTAATGAACAAATTGTTTTAGAATGTTTAAAAATCTTATATCATTTAGAAATTGAAATCAAATACATTTTTTTTCTCTTAACTTTCTAAAGTGCCTTAGAATAATAAAATAATGAGAAAGTCACTAGATTTTATAATAATTTCATCTTGATAGACTTGAGATATGTCAACATAGGATTACATTAGAAATGATAATCTCCCACTTATGGTTTTATAGAAAAAAAATTATATTTAAATAATTTTCTACAACTAAATTATCGAAGTTATTTACTATGGAGTAATTATATTTAATTTTAGCAAATTGAGAATGTTATGAACTTGTAAGAAATATTAAACAAAAAGTTATTTTATTCAGTGTGGTTTTTATCCATTTCAAAATTAAATTATTACAGATGTACATTGTCACTTGATTAGAAAAAGGATGATATTAGGGTGGGTGCAAATTTAATTATATTCATTTTCATCGTCAAAATAAAACTTCATATTTATTCTCTGTCCTCACCTCTATTAGGTATGAATTTGTGTCTTAGACTTATTTTCACCACGTAATAGATATATTTGTACATGTCTCATACTAACATTTGTAGTATATCAAATATTAACTAAATAATATCCTTACAAAATTAAAAAAAAAAAATAAGAGGAAAGGAAACATAACATTAAATAACAACACACAATCAAAACTTTTGTGATAACTACAACCTCTATTGTGATATTAAAACACAATTAAACACAAATCAAAAACATGATATGATTTTTTTTAAAAATATTAAGCATTAAGGTTATTCTAATTAAAATAGTTTTTATCCATTTGAAAATTAAAGTATTATGGATATACATTGTCACTTGGTTAAAAGTAAGGATGGAAACATGTGTATTTGATTATATTTATTTTCAGAAAATTCATATTCATATTTAGTGGCGAAAAAATTTGTGCCCGCATATATCAGCGAATAAAATCTGCGACAAATGGTTGATACCTGCAGATATTTACTATCGTAGGTAACGGATAACGGGTATTTTAATATCTGCTTATAAATGGATCGGGTACGGATATTATATTATCCGTACCCGCGAATATCCGCTACTTGCAAAAAATAAAAATAAATATTCAATTTATATTTTATTAAGTTAAATTTAATTAAAATTAACATTAATTTATATTTTATAAGGATAAATTTAATTAAAATTAAATTTTAATTTATATTTAATTTAATTTAATTTATATTTATATATTTTTTGTAATTTTATTTAAATTTTATTTTGATAATTTATAAAAATATATTTTTCTAAATATTTGTGGATATCTGTAGGTTTTAAAATATCCGTAGGTATTTTTTAAGCTAATATGCGTGCAGGTATCGGTGAATGTTTTTGTTCTACACAACCTGGTGTCATCCTTTTTATACCCCTTATCCCGACCTGTTAAAAATTTGTGTCTTATATGTGTTCCCGTTAGATAATATTTTTACTTGTATTCATTAAATATTTTATCTTTTACTACTCAAATATTAATTAAATAAGTTTTTTACAAAATTTAAAAATTATAACAAATAAAACATAATATTAAATAACAATTACACAAAATTAAAATTTTATGAGAGCTAAAATATCTATTATTTCCGCAGATGTTAAGAGGAAAAACATCCTTGGGATTCAGTGAAGTTTGTGTGGCGGCAAAAGAAGAATTCTTTAAATAAAAAAGAATTGAGAACTAGATTAAATAAAAGATAATCTTGGGTTACTTAATAAACTAAGGATTAACACAATTTAGTTTGATAAGTTGTACATCAGTGGAAGAAAATAACACAAAGAATAAAATATGTAATTAAAGTTGTAATCAGAAATAATGTACCTTTGAGTTTTGAGTGAACCGGATAAATATCAAATTAGTCAAATAACTAAGAAAATAAAAATAAAAAAGTGTGTAGTAAAAGAATAAATTTTCAAATAAAATCAAACAAACGACCAAAGAAGATAGTAAAAATAAGATGTCTAGGTTATTTATTTACTTAAGAGTGTTTCGGTAATTTAAAATTCAAACAGTATTAAGTATACATATCTATATTTGTTTCCCTATCCAATTTAAAACATTGAATATTAACCATAAATCTTAATTTTCCAATGTCTAAGTAGGTGAAGTAAATTTACCTAATATTTTTGGCTTTTTATCTAATGTCTAAGTAGGTGAAGTAAATTTACTATAAATCTTAATTTTCTATATAAATTTTTGGTGTTTTTTTAAAACCTGAAATATAAAAAGAAAAATCAATTACAATAACTTTGTTTTATATACATGAATACAACTGACAACAAT